TTGATAAGTCAATGGAACTAATTATTACATTATTACATTGGCATTTATGATTACTACTGATAAAAGACATAGGAGCAAGCCACCAGCTTGAATGGCTTTTAGAAATGGGTCAGGGTGTTTGAGAACAGTTTTGGTTTCTGAAAGAGATGTCTTATCCAGGGCTATCAGTTACAATAGCTAAATGGTACCTCAGTGTTTGCAGATACTATTCCTCTAAACGGAGCATATTCCTCATATTCAGTAATTAACTTACCTGTGTTTTATGTGCAGGGTACCTGTTTCCATATGGACCAAAGGCAAATGATAAAGAATATGTTGAAAGGAGAGTGGGTTTTAGTTCTCCTCTGTTCGAGCCTGAGATTGGAGTTCCACTGGGAAATGTGCTACGTGACTCCCTCTATGTGAGTCTATAATAAATTATTTCAGATTTATTTTAATGATCAGATACAATGCTATGAAACAAGCCCTTCCCATGGAAGAGGATGAGCAAGAAAATCCCCAATTGGATGGGACCTAAGCAGGATGGGAATACAGTGGGCCCTTGGTTTGGTTCCAGGACATGCACCCACCCCATGGATAACAAAATCCATGGAAGCTCAAGTACCATTAAATAAAATGGTATAGTGAAATGGTATTCCTTAAATTAAATAACACAATCAAGGTTTGCTTTTTGGAATGTCTATTTTTTGATGCTGTAGTTGGTTGAATCCATGGATAAAGAATTTGTGGATATGGAGGGATTACTGTACACACCATCTTTTATATATGGTGCCAGCAATGTGCATGATGATGCTTTACAGGGCTACCATGGTTTGCATCATGCTTGTGTTTACTACATCTTTAATTTCCCCAGTGAAAGTGGTTGGACATCATTGTCTGACGAGGAGCTTCCACATTCAGTTCAAAATTATGGGAGCAAAAAATGTGCTGCTGTTTCACATACAAAGCAGAAGCACGTGGAGTTGTGCATGTGGTACCACTGTGCATGTGGTACCATTGCATATTGCAATGCAAGTCCACATGCAGCATTGTAATCCTGCATTTGACATCTTGTTTGCTCATTCAGTTGCATGCTCTTGCAATTCACTAAGGCATGATCATCTCGTAATTCAGAGAGTGTAAAGTTTTACTCCATCTCCTTGATGTAGGATTTCTATCCATAAGTTTTTGTTTATTAAAGCTTCCCTTTGAAGCTTACTTTGGCATAGAATTTTCCAGAAATACCTAGACCAGAACCCTGTTGGTGTCCTACATGCGCAAGTTTCCCATGGAAGTGGCTGGATATTTTTGTCCAATATACAAACATTTGTATTAAGTTCAAGAAAGTGAGAGTTATGAAAGTGGAGTTGCACATGTGGTGTTTATGCACATGGAAATGCTTGGATGCACAGAGATGTGCATTGGTGCATTTTGGGGTATGTATTTAGGTGGGCAGTGTTGGCATTTAACACAAGGGTGGCAGAGCACTATGCAATGCTGATAATGGATATAAGCCCTAATCTTTATAGTACCTCTCAGTCTGTACCCATTTTCTCAGACCTCACTTACACCTGTTTTTCCATTTAGTTCACAAGTAATGGGCAAATAATTTTCCCAGTCTCTGGGAAGGACGTTTCCAGTAATCCTAACCCACCACTTGGAGGATTTAATGGCCGTGAGAATGTACCAATGGTAGCTGCATTTTGGGACAATGCTGACTTCTCCAGGGGAAGTGGGACCATCTTTTACCAGGTAAACCATCCCTAGTTGTCTGTATTTGATTACCTTTCATGGTTTTTGCAGTGATTAGTATTTTGACAAAAGAGGATTTTGTTAGATTATTTGAAAAAGGGTTGGGGAGACATTTTATTACCAAATATTTGAAGAACAGCAGAATTAAGACTTATATTTGAAAGGAACCTCTCTCTGTGTGTGTGTGTGTGTGTGTGTGTGTGTGTATGTATATACAAACATAATTTTGGATAATAATTAAAGGCAGTTTTTTGTGGGTTTTTCGGGCTGTGTGGCCATGTTC